TCGCCTGGGCTCGGGCACTCGCCTCCTGCCAAGCGGGAAGCCTTAGCACCTCATCAAGTGGGCCATCTCGTGAGCGCCTTGCAAACTGTTCAGGTGATGTTGTCTCCATTTAAAATAGAAAAATCACGTGTGGCAGTTTCCCCCCAAATTCCCTGAAACTAAGATTTACAAAAAGTACGGCTGTTGAAGTTACTACCTGGCTTTCTCTAACTTCATGGTTTTCAATTTAATGACTTTGTGCTTATCTTCTGTTAACACTTTGCATAGCATTTCAATGTTTTCTGTATAGTTTGTTTTTCATTGAGAGTGAATGTCATTTTTAGAGTCTTTCCATTCGGTTACTGTGGAACTTAATCGTCTTAAGTAAAGTCTTTCTCGGAGTAATTCTGCGTCGCTGCGACCGATTCGCTCGTCAGGCCCTGGAGGCCTCTTGCCCACGAGGCCTGCGCCGAGGCGGGCGTCACGTCGATGGCAGCCCCACGTCCCGGCTTTCGGGCCGGGGTTCCAGGCGTCTGTAGAGCCGTCCCTCAGCTTGGACTGTCTTGGTGTCTCCGGGGGTTCATAGAGGCCGTGGGTTGCGGGGTTCAGGGAAGGGCCCCGCAGGCGGTGCCCGTGTGCCGCCCTCTGCCGGCCTGCGGTCACGGGGAAGGTGTCCTCTCCCCAGGCGGCGGGGAGCAGCGCCCTTCCTCCCACCACTGCTGCGTGTCTGGGCGCCTCGGCCTCCTCTTGGCGACGTGACTGTCACCCTGGCGGTCTGCAGGCTCCGGCTGGCGCGTGGCGGCGTGCACCTTGTCAGAGCTCCTGCGTCCCGCCGCAGGAGGGACTTCGCCTCTCCCCGTCCTGTCCTAGCACCTGCCCCGCAGCCGCCTCCTTGCACCTTGCTGTGGAGAGTGAAGAAGGGAGGGCCGGGTGTGTGGCTGCTGGTGCGTCAGCCTGCCGGGCCCGTGGACGGGGCTGTGCGGCGCCGCCTGCTGCTCCCCTCGGCTCCGGGGCTGCTTCACTAGTGTCTTCAGCTCCGTGTGAACAAGTGAGTTGGAGCAGTGTCCCTGACCCGGTCCACACTGCCCTTGCACACTGTCCTCCTGTGCCGCGGAGAGACCCGGCTCTCTCGTGCAACTTCAGTTGGTTCCCGTCTCGTGGGTGTGGTGCCCAGCACTTCCAGAGCCCCTGTGGACGCCCTGTGGCAGTTTATGTCCGGCTCTCATGACCCCAAGTTGCCTCTGCCCAGTCCGAGTTGCAGGGTCAGCAGGGAGCCCACCTCCCCAGGCCTAGTCCCCGTGTTTCATGTTCACGCACGGCTGTCCTGGGTGCGCACGTCGGGCGCCTGCTCTCCCACAGCTGCCCTGGGGGTGGCGCTCTTGCCCCTTCCCTGCATCCACTGCTCCCCATGACTGGGTGGGGGTGGCGGTCAGAACCGACTGTACAGCCACAGGGCTGGAGAGCTGGGGGCCTGGCAGGCGCATGGCTGGGACTTGGGCTCTGACAGGGCCCGGTGCCTCATGGCCGCTGACTGAACTGGACTTGGTTGGCGAACGTGGCCTCCCCCGTTCTGTACCCTGTGTCCACGTCGGGCCTCGTCCCGCTGAGCTGGCCAGAATACCCAGATGGCCCAGGAGATCCCCGGACTTGGTGTGCAGACCTGCGTGCACCTGCTTCTCAGGTCCTTGCTCTCCGCGCCCGGGACTTAGGGTGCCCCCGGCATCACGGGGCCACCGTGGTGACTAGGCCCCCCGCGGAGGGTTGAGCTCCGTCTCAAGGCCTCTTTCCTTACCTGCATCTTATTTTCCATTCATTTTCCTTTGAGTTTATGAAAGCAGTGGGCTGCAGCGTACAGTCGTGCGTGAGACCTAAAGGAGGCGGATGGCCCCTGCCGGCCTGCAGAGCGACCAGCAGCCAGCGTCTGGGTGTGACGGCCACAGCCGGTGGTGGCGCCTGGCCCTTCCTTGGGGCGCGACCTGAGTCTGGTGTGGAGTTTGGCAGCGGGTCGCTAGGTGGCGCCAGGGCTGCCGAGTGGTACTGCGGTTTGTCCTGCGTGCTCTTGGGCAGGTAGAGAGGAGCCTGGCAGGGCTGGGTGTGGGCGACAGGGCAGTGGGCACCGAGGGCCAGCCCCTGAGCTGGGGCTGCTGGCTTCAGGAAAGGATCCCTGTGCAAAGCCCAGACTCATTCTTCAGGCCAGTCCCGAGAGGCCAGAGGTGTTGGGGGGCCACCATGGAAAACCTGAGGGGGAGGGAGCCCCTTGGCCCCAGGAGCACTCTCGCTGTGCCCTCGGGTGCCACAGGCATCTCTGCCTGTCCAGCGTGTGCCCAGTCCTGGCGAAGCTGAGGGAGACTCAGCATGTGAGTTTTAGGTCTGCGGGTTGTCAGTCACAGCCACCTCTGGGAGCTTACAGATAAGTAAAAACGGCTCTTGCCACTGAAGAGGCTGATTTGGACATGTAAATACAGTGGTAGTGCTATTAGACGTTTGTCTGAATCGTGTCTTAAATTTTCTTATTTCTTCACGGATCTTCATGTTTATCCTTGTCCCTTCAAAGAGCAGCCTGAATACATTTAGATTTACTTCTCAGGCTGTGATTAAGAGGTCCTTGTTTATATTCCACCAACTCTCTACAGCGAATTCCTGTTTGCATATTCGCCAGGCCGCCAGCAGCATCACTCTTCACCCGTGTGCTCATTTATCTGCAAGAGCCCGGAAGCCCGGGCGGGGGTTCACCTGTGCAGCCCCCGGACACCGGCTTACAGTCGATTCCGAGACATTGTGTGGGTCCCGTTAGTGCGGCCTGAGGCTGGCGGCCGCCGCCTCTCTGCAGGGCCAGCCGCAGCCGCAGGCGGCGGGGTGGCGGCCACCTCTGTGGGCCTGGGCCGGGCTGGCCTGTGCCTCTGAGCTGGCGAGGGCATAGGTGATCCCCTTTTAGTTCCCAGCCCCCCCCCCCCATGTCTGAAAACAATATGCGCGATGTTCTCACTTATCTGTTCAGTAACTAATAGATGTGACCACAAAGAACTGCCCCAAGTCGTGCTTAGCACTCTGCGTCGGGCTTTGGCTGCTTCGCCTCTCCTTGCCTCTGGCCCCTCTGCCCAGTCGCTTCCTTGCTTTCCTGCAGGGCGGCCTGGCTTGGGCTGGTCTTCTCTGTGCTGACCGCCATCTGCTCCCGAAGCGCTGCCCGCCTCCAGCCGCCTGCTGTCCCGGCTGCGAAGCCCCCTCCTGCCTCTCCGCAGACCCTGTGATGGGGCCGCCTCTCCCAGGCTGTCCTGCTCCACCTTGACTTGGCCCACACCTGTCTCTTGCTGGCCCTAGGCTGCTCCTGTTCTTTCTCTGTTTGAAATCGAGAGAAAGCCCTGCGACCCTCCCTCGCCCCCCCACCAGGTGGCCTGGCTCACCCTTCCCTCTGCTCCCCGTGTTTTTGTCTGTGTCTTAGTGTGATGTTTCCCTTGCCGCCCTGGCGACTCCATTCTGCTCATCTTTGAACCTTCCAGCTCCCCTGGGGCTGTGTCCTCTTCCAGCCCTGCCGAAACCACCACCTGCTTTTGTTCTTGGGGGGTTTTCTTGGTCCCCTCTGACTTCCTGTTCTCTTAAGTCCTGCCCTTAGGCAGTCTGCTCTGTGCCTGGGGCTATGTGAGCCGCTCATCAAAGACCAGCATATTCCAAGGGGGAGCTGACTTTTTATGTTGTCCCCAAGTCCTGGTGAAGTAACTCTTGAGTCACTTTTCTCTGGGCACTGTGGTTGCTGAAGCTGCCAGCACCTGTCTGGAGACTGTGGCTCCCTGGCCTCACCAGAGTATCACTCCCCACGTCTTGCCCCTGGGCCACAGGGTTCTTCTGTGAAATCTGCCCTCCTCCATTAAAACTCCAGGGCTTTCCACAATTGAGATAAAAACAAAAGAGTGTACAAACTGATGTAAAAATAAACTTAGATTATTATTATTTTTTAAAGATTTATTTATTCATACAGAACTGGGGTACAGGCCAGAGATGCGGAGGGTGAGAGGATTCACCAGAGACAGAGCGGGGAGCAGAACAGGCAGACTGACGAAGCACACTGCTGAGGGGAGCAGCGGGTGGGTCCAGAGAGGTCTGCCGCGCCCTGTGGTCACCTCCCGGGCAGGTGGGGATCGAACTCATGCGGAAGTGGCTTAAGCTTCTTAGTGCTGCGCTTTAACCCGCTGCGCCACCAGGGAGGGCCAATAAACTGTTATATTATTAAAAAAAAAAAAAAAGAAAAAACAAAACTCCAGGGCTTTCCACTGTTTTACCAGAGAAAACTCCTAATCCTGCGAAGGTGCCAGCATGGTTTTGTTGTTCTGGAAGAGCACCCTGGCTTAGGTTTAAGGTGGGGCTCCCGCAGGCTAGAGGCTGGTCAGCTGCAGTGAAGCCCAAGTCAGCAGGATCCAGCTGCTGGCGCCTGCAGAGCGCCCGTCCCCTCCAATGGGCTTGTGCCTGGGCGCCTCCTGCGAGGGAGCGACCGGATGCGAGAGTGCAGACTTTTAAATCACTGTCCGAGGCAAAAAACATGGCTACAGTGTGTGGCGTGAGGGTAATGCGTGCAGTTGCTACATCATGTGTCATGTGTATTTTCTACTTTTGGTGCTGTAAGTTTTACTTTGTTGAATTATCTGAAGTTACTCATTTATGTCTGAAACAGCTAATTTAGTGATAAAAATTTACAATATGTTTGTACATTTCTCCCCCTTCACAAGTATGGTTCTCATGGCCAAAAAACCTTGTCACTTGCATTTTAACCCTGCACTGGGCTTACATTTGTCCATTATAGGAATGGAGAGTATTTGGGAATAAAAATGCCTTTTTTAAAAGTCATATGGAATGAGAATTGCCGCTTTGAAGGGAATGCTGAAAGATTAGCCATACACGATGAGCCCCTCAGTCCTGTGTGTGGGGGGGCAGGGGCGGGGTGGGGAGTGGGGTGTGTTTCTTGCAAGGGTGGATAGTTGGCTGGGGGTTAAAATGTGATCATGTTGAGACGGGTTAGCTTAGTGATTTTAATGTGAAACCATTGCTTTTAGAATAATCATGGGCCAGACTGGGAAGAAGTCTGAGAAGGGACCTGTTTGTTGGCGGAAGCGAGTAAAATCTGAGTATATGCGGCTGCGACAGCTCAAGAGGTTCCGGCGGGCTGATGAAGTCAAGGTACAGCTTCGTCCTCTGCGTTTAGGGCCCTGCCCTGTCCCCGCTGAGTGAGGTCTGACTCACACAGTGCCTTTTCAGCCAGGGTCATACTTACAGATAGATGGGGGAGTCCTGGGAGCTGCCGGCTCTGTCTTCCTGTAAAGCAACATTCACGGCCTGGCAGCTTTTAGTGTAATAGTGACAGTCCACCTCTTGGAATCACTTTCTATTAAACTCTGGCCCAGATACAGAGGAAAGGGTTTCATGGTTTATGTTTCTAGTCATTGTGATTTTTTTTTAGTACAAAGTTAAAGGATGAAAATTATCTCCTGTTCCCCGTCACTCTCAACAAAATCATAGGGGTGGTGTTTGCATATTATGTGACTGTGGGAAGCTACAGTCTAGACTGATATGTGCATATGAGGGAATGTTCCTGATACTTTGGAAATAGCACTAGATTTTAGCCTGTTTTAGAGATGACAAATTTTCTAACAGTGAATACTTTTTCTCCTTTTTTTTAAGAGTATGTTTAGTTCTAACCGTCAGAAAATTTTGGAAAGAACGGAGATCTTAAACCAAGAATGGAAGCAGCGCAGGATCCAGCCCGTGCACATCCTGACTTCTGTGAGCTCATTGCGCGGGACCAGGGAGGTTGGTGAACTCGCTGCAGTGACGCGGGCCGCTGGGCTGTGCTGCTGGAATGTTGGTTGGTCATGAGCGGTCATCTTCCTGCCGCTGTGTCTCTCTAATCTGCCACTGTTAAGGGGGCTTAAGCCACACTGGTTGCTCCAGAGCTGTGGGGTTCAGAAAGTGCTTTGACTGTTGTTGAGTGAACTTGACTCTTACGACTTAATGAAGAAAAGCCTTTTAAATGAAGCACTCTTTCCCACCCGCATCGGATCACTGTTTAGGACAAGGCTGCCTGGCTCAGTCGTCCTTTCTCCCTCCCCATAGTACAAATTAGCCATGTGCTGGATAGCAGCTGTTTCCTCCTCACCATATTCCTGAGCTGACAATGTTTTTGTTATACACTTTGTTTTAAACTCTAAGTCTCACCATAGGATATTTTAATTCGGTGTCAAGAGATCAGACTTTTTTTTTTTTTAATCTGTGGCATTTACTAAATGAGTTGGCCCTAATCAGGTTTCTGTTATCAGAGGGAGGCAGTCTGTGGTAGACTTGTAATTAAGGAACACATGAAAACAGTTGCAAAATGGCAAAGGTTTAAACAAGGTAGAAGGAGTTAGTGAGGTTCTGGTTAGGTCATTTGTTTAAGTACTTGTTTTGCATTGAGAGATTTGGCATAGGGTATGGAGTGCTACTTAGAGTTAATCAGGAAGAGGGAAGAAAGTGATTTAGAATTCAAGTTACACTATGTACTATATGGAAGCATCGAAAGGATGAATTTGCTCGGAAACAGTGTTTTCAGTGAGCAGCTGTTTCTCTCGTGCACAGATCAGGCAGAATTCGGCGTGGTCTGAAGCCTGTGGTGGGTGTGCCGGCTCGGCCGGGGCAGCTCTGCCCGTGGGGTCTGCAGGGCTCGCCTGGTCCGGTCTCAGTGACGTCTGGCGTCACTGTGACGGGGCTCGTACTTAGGCTTTTTTTTTTTTTTTTTGGTGACAACTGTTTAAAATTCTGACGTGCAGTTATGTGTAAATACATATAGTATGCTCCAGCACCCACATCAATCACTGGGGGCAGGTCAGAACCGGACTCTAGAGGTAAATGCCTGTTTATCAACATAGCAGGTGTGAGAGGGGTTCTTTTCTATGCCAGCTAGAGTGATTTGAATGTTCTCAAAAGGAACAAGTAATTCTTTTGAATGTTTTGTCTGACCTTTTGGAAATTTTGAGGTGAAGGAAGAAGAAACCGTTTTTCTGCCCCTGTTACAAGCCTCGGAATGCAGCCCGGGTGTGATGAGAGTGGGCAGCGGCTGGGCACTCGCACACTGGCCGCCTCTCTGGTTGTTGTAGTGGCTGAGTGTGCCCTCCCCTGCACACACCCCGTCCTGAGGAAACTAAACCTTAGAAGGGGCAGGTCAGATGGCTTGCTCTAAAGGTCTGGTGGGGGCCAGAAGAGTTTGCTTTATTCGGCCACATTGAGAAATCAGGGAAGCTCATTATGTTCATGATGTAAGTTTTGATGTTAAGTTTGAGCAAAATTTATTGAAAAGAACACTTACTAATTGAGCTTTGCTTTTAATTTTGTCAGGGTCAGATAAGTCATTGAATGTAAAAATACCTCAGTTTTTATTGTGGATTTTGTGAGAAATTGTAAGGAGAAAACAGCATTTTAATGAAACAGTTTTTTCTAAACTTGGCACTTCCTAGTACCTCACACAGGTTGCGCAAAGACCATTTCTTGAGGTGTTAGTGCAGAGGGAGGAAGGTGGTCTCCAGCTTTGGGGTTCAGGTCTTGTTGCTTGGAAAACTCAGGGCACACACTGGTCTTTGAGCTGACTCCAAGAGTCAGACTCCGCTCCCAAGTCTCCTGCCTCTGCCCCGCCCCGCAGAACATCACAGGCTTGGATGCTTGTGAAAATTGTTTTGGTGTTAACACAATAAATGATGAAGTTGTAGGAGTGGGAAGGACGAATGTCCTTGTTTTTCTGCCCAGACTATTTCCCTGCTTAATTTGTCCTCACCGAGCATTTCTAGCTAAATATCAGTTTCTTTTATATGCTTTAAAAGTTGGGAGTCCAAAGTAGGCCAGCAGCAGAGGGACAAATAAGTCAGCCTGTCTCTGGCTGCGGCCAGTCTGAGGCTTCCCGGCGGGGAGTGCGGCTTCAAGGTTGTTCAGCGCGGTGCTTGTTTTTATACGTTGCTCTTTTATAACTGCTGTCCGCAGCCACGCGCGGTTTCTCCCTGGAGTCGTGTGCTCCTTCCCTCCTGCATGGTCCCGGCAGAGCTGCCCTGGAGAGTGGGGTGCGGGGCCTGCGGGCGCCCTGGTGCGCTTGGGCCGACTGGGCCCTCCCGCGTGCGTGCTTTCAGGTCACGCTCGGGGCCTAGTTTTGTTGCCGTGGTGACGAGCCCGGGCCGGTCTGGAGCCGCTTAATACAGGAGGTGTGTCTGCTTTCTCCTTTTCAAAACCACCCCTGACTTCTTGAAGACAGACATGCTTTACGTTTATTCCCTTTGCGCTCCGGTTAATCCTGTAAGGAAGATTCACTCGACAATGTCGCGGAAGGTGCGCACAGGCCCGGCACTAGCGATTCATCAGGAGGACGTCACCTGGCGACTTCATCCCTTTGCCTTCTCAGGTGCTGGCTGCAGGCCCCGCTCTGCAGTCTGCACCCTGGAGCTCAGGCGCGGTGTTGGGGTTTCCCAGTTCTAAAGAGAAACTGGTTGGGGAGCTACTCTCGTGGGTGCAGCTCTTCCTGTACACCCCGCCGCCTCTTACTGCCAGCTAGAGCACCCTCCTGGGCGCCGGCCCCTCCCGTGGGCCGCAGCTGTGCGCCCAGCACTTGGGCAGCGGCTGGCTCTGTAATTTCCGCCCTGCAGGAGTTTGTAGATGCCCAGGAGACTAGTCTTGTAAGCGTTCTCTATCTTCCTTACTAATGAGGAGACTTAGATTTTAAAATACGTACTTAATGTGGGGCTTCTCCGCCACATCTGACCCGCAGGGAGCACCGGGAGGACAGCAGCGCCCTCCTGCTCGGAAGGGGTTCAAGCTGGCACCCTCAAAGGGTCATTAGTTTACCCTTGTGATTTGTTATTTGCAAAAGGAGTTTGGGGGGTGGGAGGGCGCTGGGAGAGCTTCTGTCAAGTGATGCAGACCTTCAGGGCGCTGAGCTGATGGCCGCCTGGCTTCCAGCGCTTGGGGGTGGGGGGTGGTGGTGGTGGTGGTTTCCCAGGGTTTAGAAGCACATGATGGCCCTCTCCAGCGTCTGTTCTGGCTCCCAGGCCAAATCTCTCCATCTTCTTGGTGCCTCCAGGAAATGGTTTCTTAGTTGCTGAAGCTGCGTTTTGCCCCTCCGCCCGCTTGTCGGGGCCCTGTGGAGCGTGGCTGCCCGTGCTGGTCTGCAGGGCGCTGCGGCTCGCTCCCCCTGGCTGCCCATCTGCCAGGCATGAAGATGGGCACTTCCTAAAGGAGGGATTCCTTTTCTTTTGGAAGGGAATTGATAGAAGCATTTTATGCTTTTCCAAAAGGCGATTTAAAGGGAAAATCAGCTATGATTACATTTCTCTCTCACCATATTACTAGGTTTGAGTATACGTTTCACAATTTTCAAGTTTATTTTGTGCAACTGATAAACCAGCAGTTTCTCTTACGCTGTTTTTCTCCTAGAATATTGTGTGTATAGTTGGTGTTTGGCTAAGTATTGTTAAATTGACTGTTACATAGATAAGTTTCTTTCTAAATTGCTGAAGCAAATTTTGATAGCTGTTTTAAAAGCCAAGAGACGGCTATCTCAAAACTGGAAGAAATGATTGTCCAGCCCACAATGTTAAACATTGTTTTTTGTTCTGCAGTAATAAGAACATTTTCTTAGACCTGAAACTTCTGTCACAGTTCCCCTTGATAAATGTGGGTTGACTTAAATTCACTGCTTGGGGATTCTATTTTGTCTTCCTTCACTAGATTTTGTAAAAGATTGTTACTTGAGTTCTACTTTCGAAGGGTTGGGACAGATTTTGTGGGCTGCCTTTGCAGCTGAATGATTCACTTTTATACTAGTTAATGTCAGCTGGATCAGTGAAACTCTTGTTTTATTTGTCTCTCCAGTTAAAAGGTTACTATAAAATGATTATTGTAGAAATTCAAGTAGATAAGAAGCAGTTGGCAATCCCCCCTCTGATTCTTTCAGATTTCTTTTCTTCTTAATAGTGATAGCATGTTAATAGTACATGTTTTAAGAAGTTAATGGCCAGATGAAATACACTTGCCACTCTGGGCTGTCCCTTCCCCGCCTCAGTCCCGGTCTCCAGTCTTCGCTAATAGTACGTGGTTTCGAGGCTGCGACAGGCCATCATTAACTGCCTCAAATGGTGACCATGACCAGTAAGTTTTTATTTTTGCAATCAGTGTTTCCATGTTTTATCTACATCTGTGGAGTAATTTTGTTGAGTAGATTCCAGAAATAGAACTAGTTCGAGGATATGCATATTTTTAATATTTTTGTAGGTATTGCAGATTGCCCCATGGATGATTTTTTACATTTACACTTTGCCACCTTGTTTGCAGAAATGGCTGCTCACCTGTATTTTTTCAACTCAGTGTATCAAGTTGTAACCCTCAGTGTGATAGGTCAGTTATTTTTCCAGCTTGCTTTCCTTCAGCTGTCTGGAGAGGCTTAGGACACTGAGCACAGCTCTTTTATGAACTGGCTAGCTTGCTCTTGGTCCTTTTTATACTGAGCTGGACTTTGTCTTCCGATTTTTAAGGACTATATGAACGTTTTAGTTTTCTTTGCCACATTTTGATGTTAATTCTGGTATTAATGGCTACATAGAAGTTTCAGATGTTTATATAGTCAAATTAGAACGTCTTTGTTTCTGTGTTTCTTACAGGCTTACAACGTCTTTCTCTACTTTGAGATTAAAAATTGCCTGTTCATCTTTCCTTTTAGATGTTTTCATAGAATTTAGCTGTAAGGAGCCTTTGTAGAAAGAGTAAGTGGGGAATTTAGAAATGTTTAAATTTTTTCTACTTAGTTTTCAGCACCCCTTACTGGATAATTAGTGCTGAATCGAGTGCCTCTGGGTGTCTGGAGAGCCGTGGACGGGCCCAACTAGCAGCCACCCGCCTGAGCTGGGCACTGCCCTGGGCACCCCAGGCCCCTGAGCCTGCCGGCGAGCCCTCTCCACCGCAGGGCTGACCCCACGCGCCCACACACCCCTCGTGCCCTTCCTGGTCGTCCTTTCTTTTTAATGACAGAAATGGTCTTATTTCCACATATCTGGGATTGTTTTTTAATTGGTTTGTGTGAGATGGATGAACACTGCATCATGTTTTCTTGTTTACCTACTTATGTCCTGTGACTGTTGTGTTTCTGATAGCCAGTAATTTAACACAACTGAAGTTTCTAAAGAAACTGCAGGTTTTGAGAGGGGTGATTTGCCCTAAAAGGCCCCTGCAGACTCTATATTAGGTTTTAATAGGATTAATTGAGTTCATATATTTTTGATCCCTTTTACCCAGAGGCTGACCCCTGGAGGCAGGATGCAGGGAAGAGCTTTAAGGGTCTAAACTTTCTGAAATTATATCACAAAAAATGTTCCATGCGAAAATGCCTCCCCTCACCCACTTCCCTGAGAAGAAATGTAGCCACTGATTCTTCGAAGACAACCTCTTTTCTGTTGTAAGTGAACGCGGAAGCAGTAGCCTTATGTTGCAGGGTGGAGGTCTCCCCTCATCAGAAATGCTTAGAAACACAAATACTGAACAGCAAAAAATTGAAATAACCCAGAGTCTGGCATGAGCCACTCTTTTTCATTCCTAAGCTCCTTGATAAGCTGCTCGCTCACGTCTGTGTCAGCACCTCAGCTGTTCCCAGCTTTCGGACTGACTCTTCTGTGGGTGAAGTACCTCCTCCCTGACCACCTCCCGTTTGCCTTCCAGACCTGTGGTGCCTCTCTGGTGTGTGGGGTTTCTCTTCTCCACACTTGGTGTTTATCTCGTTCCAGTTTTTTCTTCAGGACTCATGCTCCCATTTTCATCAGAAAGGCTAGCTCACTTAAGACTTGAGGGTCTTCTCTCTTCTCCACTTACGCTACTGTTTGGGAGGTACCCTGGCCTCCTCTAGAGTTGGGTGGCAGCCGGCGCTTCCTCCGGATCCCTGGGCTGTCTCGCCGCCGCCAAGGTGGGAGGTTGCCGTGCGTTACGGCTTCTGCCCGGAGAAGGAGCGTCAGCCAGTACAGCGGGCCGTGTCCCAGTGTGGCCCAGTGGACCAGCCGGCACCCAAGAATACTTTAACTCGGTCTGTGTCCCCTTGCTGGACTGAAGTTGGACTTTAGCCCCCGATGGTGAAGATTATTCAGGGGTCAGCAGCCATGGCTGTTGTCCGTTGGGGTTTCCTGCTGTAAGAGGGGGAGTCATACCTACCTCATAGGGTAGCTGTGGATTTTAAAGGGTAACGTTGGTAAATCTGTAGCATAGTGTCGGCACATAGTAGGGTGTGTTAATGTCTCTCCCTTCCCTGCAGGCCAGTCACCTGCTCTTCCCTCTACGGTTTTCCTAACACAGTTTTTACTTGGAACCAGCCTTCTGCCAAGAGTCTCTGGGGCTGTGTACTCCTACAGCACTATTTTTGGCTTGACCTCCCTCTCCAGCTCCCAGTGGTCCAGCCACACAGTCGCCTATTGTGCCAGCTGGTCGATGTAAGTCTCTCCATCCTCAGAGGACCCTGGTTTCTTACCAGTAGCTGTGTTTCTCTGAAAATGTAGCATCCTTGATAACTTGCAGACCTTTTTTCTTTCCTTACCTTTGCTGATGAGTCATAACTAGAAACCTCTTTGTGCGACCCTCAAATTGGAGCTAGGGCTAGCGTGTAACTAACCCTAGTAACCGCTGGTACAGGTCTCCTCGTGAGCTCCTGAGGCTAGGACACGCGGCTGGTCAGGTAAAATGCTGCAGAGACACCTGAGGTCAAAATCCCTCTCAGAACTCTGAGGGGTTTGGAAGTTGTTATATAAACTGTCAAGGATGATACATTTTCAAAGAAAAAAACATTACTGGTATGCAACTGGGATTTTTGAGTACTTTTTTCTGTAAGTCATAAATAAGAATTCCTACACCTGTTTTTACCTACAAATGCCTTTGCATTTGACTGTTTCATAAGTGAAAGGAATGTGGTTAATAGTTAAGGTTAATAGGTAAAAGAATGGGGTAGGTTTGTAGTGATATTTTCAGACAGTGGGTGGGGTAGGCCTTCAATTTCCTCAACCCGTGCGCTGTCGAGAGTGACGGAGGTCGAGTTCTTCATGGGGAACACAGCCGGGTCTGTTGGTGTCAGAAGCATTTTTTGAGCGCCTGCTTTCTTTTTGAGACACTGTGCTGAGTGTTGAGAGACAGAGGTAGACCGCTCTGCCTCACTGCCGTGACCCCGGGAGAGAGCTCATTTCCACCCGTAGTGGCCCTGTGTGGGGCTCTGCGGGCCGGGGCGGGGTGGCCGCAGAGCCGCGGGCTGCCGGCCCGCCTCCGGGCCTCTGGAAGCCTTCTGTTCCGAGGGGAGCCCGCCGACCTTGCTGGGCAGACGAGGCGCGTTTCTGCATCGTTCCACGGGGCAGGTGTCTGGTAGCTGGTGGTGTTCAGCTGCTTGGCTGCGTGTGACTGGGTTGAGGTATTAAAACAGGCCAATGAGTTGGGTTGCAGCCTGTTCTCTACCCCCCCAAACTTTAGAGGGGCCAGTGCATAGATTTAAGGCCCTCACCCCCGTAGGCGACAAAGCCCCCAAACTCTAAAAATTGTCTTACTAAAATGCAGTTTATTTTTTCCTTAAAATCACCGGGTGATGTGGAGCCCTTTATTCAGTATTGATGCTGACTCCTTGCCCCAGTTACTGACTCAGTAGAAGGGAAGAGGGAAGAGGGAGCGGAGCCAGGGATGTGTGTGTTGCTCCCTGGGCTCTCACCTGCGAGCGCCTGGGCAGGCCTCAGCGTCAGGATTAAGCTCCTGGAGTTGGAGTCGGCGTGGGCCTCCATCCTGGGGTGGTTGACCACCTTCCCCTCGGCAGGCTGAGCGCGCCGAGCTGCAGACTCCTCTTCTGCGTGAAGGCCAAGATGAGGGCTCTACAACACTTAGCACAGCGCCTGCACCGAGTATGTGCTCAATAAACGCCCACTGCTGTGACTGCTGCTTTACTGGGGGAGGAGAGGGTGGGTGAAGAACTGAGCCGGGGCCCGCGGCGGAGAGGGAGGGCCAGGTGCTGCTGGGCGCAGCCTCTGAGCTGTGGGAGCCGTGTGTCTGCGGGCGTCCTCTCTGCCTTTGGCCCCTCTAAGAGCAAATGAGCGGTGAGTCACCGGCCGCTGTGAGCTCTGCCGGGCGCTCTGTCTCTGGCCCACTCCCCCGGGGAGGAGCTGCTGCCGCGTCTCGGTGACCGGCGTCAGGCGGCCGCTGCCTTGTGAAGCGCCGGGCCGGGTGCGGCCTGATGCCAGACATGTCCACCAAATCAGTCCTGCTGTTTTAAGACAATGAAACTAAACAGTTAGTAATTATGTGTGTGTTATATATCTCATTTTTGGTTTCATTTTACTGCCCCAGTCCTGTTACTTTTTGCTCTGTGTTTATTGATTTGTCCATGATGAATCTGGTCCAGGCTATTTATGGACTGGCAATTGGGTAGAGGTACTCGCAAGAAAAGCTGGGTTCCTGGACAGAGTGCAGAGTGCACGGGTTTTGCTGCATTTCATAGACTTGAAGATGCAAAGATTTGAAACTCTCAGCATTTGAAGTTGGCATGCATGCCAGAATGCCTGTCACCAGAAATCATTGTGTATCAGTTTAATTGGCAGCAGGGTTCTCGTAGTGATACAGGAGGTGGGGATGTGCCTTGACGTTGGTGTCTCAGAGTGAATAAGAAACGGACTTTCCAGAGCATGCGTGCACTGGGCACTCCGGAAGGATGGTCTCGTGACCAGGGAGCCTCTGTCCGGTCCGGGTAGGTCAGAGACTTCAGAGCCAGACTTTGTGGGTTTAGGTTCTAGCCCTGTCTCAGGGCTGGCTCTGGCCGGTTGCTCGGTCTTGCTTCCCCTTCATTTTCTGACCCTTAAAGTGGGCACCAGGACTAGCACCTGTCTTACAGTGTGGTGACGAGGGCTGCGGATACCAGTGTCGGAAGCATTGCCCAGACTGAGGAGCGCTGAGGGTTGGGGATCACAGTCTCAGAGCGCTGCTTTGAACCTCTTGTTACGATTGGAACTCCCATCTTAATGCTTAATACTTGTTACTGTATGACATCAGCAAATGACACTTGAAATTTTGAAAGGGAAGATAAAGATTAGAAAGGTTAACCTAACAAGTGTTCACATTCTTATTAAGTATGGTTGAAGTAGTGTAGTTTATATATGTTATTATTCCATGTGATTGACATGTGAAAGGCATTAATTGTTGAACCAGGAAATGCATAGTGAAAAGCATGGAGCAGTGAGTCTGAAATGAACTTTAAAATACTATTTTGATACTCCTAAGTACGGGAAGCTGGAAATTTTTGAAATTTTGCAAATTCAAAGTTTTGAAATTTTGCAAATTTGGAGGGTTTTGAAAATCCTGATTTTCTCCTTAAGTGAAAAGGAGAGAGGGAAGAGAATCCTTGCTGAGAAGACCCTCGCAGTCTTGGATGAATTTCTTTTTCAAAATGATTAGAGCAGGCAAAGCCCCCTTTATATAGCATGATGACTGTGACTTAAGGGTCCTTTTATTATGAGTCACTTTTATTTTGTCTCTTCTAGTGTTCGGTGACCAGTGATTTGGATTTTCCAGCACAAGTCATCCCACTAAAGACTCTGAACGCAGTTGCTTCAGTCCCCATAATGTATTCTTGGTCGCCCCTGCAGCAGAATTTTATGGTATGTAAGTAATGTATCTCGTGCTTATTTGGTAATAATTTGTTTTAAAAAGCATAGGTGATTTTCTTGGCAAGGTTAATAAGGGACGGTGTGCGTTGAGAAAGCGCCCGAAGTGTCAGTACGGTCTCTGGCTGACACGGCAGCCTGCCGCGTCTCACGTCAGCCACAGGTTCGTGGGAATCGCCCCTTGGAGCGTGTATGTAACGGAGCATTTAACGAAGCCTGATTTGACCTTCAGCTAATTGGTGTAGGCAAGAATTGAGTTTCTGTGGCATATTACTGGACACACCAGCGTAGCTGACCTTGTAAATGAACGCCCACACGTCTGCTGTTCAGCGATACCTTGCATTTCTGCTTTCCATCGTGCTCTTTCTCACTCGGGGGCTGGGTGACTGAGCTGTCCCCCAGCTCAGGGCAGGCCCTGCCCTGGACAGGATGCCTGCCACCTGCGGACGCCGCACGACAGAGGCCCTGACTGGGAGTCTTCTTCCCCCTTTCTTTAGTGTTTGAACAAAATGATGTCATTTAAGGACATACAACATGTAGATTTAAGCCTTTGCATTGTTGCTTTCCTAGTTGGATATTCAGTCAGAAGCGTTAAGCAAAAGCCATCCTTAGGATTAACAACTACATTTAAATCAGTTTTAGGTATAAAATTATATATATTATATATATATATGTTATCTATATACATTAGTTATATATTATATGTATACATTAGTTTTTCTGTTGATGTCCTTCATTGTCCTATAATCTCAGTCTGACTTTGGGGTTTTGTCAGTAGAGAGCTTTTTGCTTAAGACGGTCTTCAGCAGCATGTTAAAGGATGTGTGCGGTGAAAACCGCAGCCACGCTCTTGTTTGCAGACCGCACTGGCCGGTAGCTTCTGTCGCAAACGGCAGTGTCCTCTGCTTCCTCGCAGCAGATGAGAAGCTCAGCTGTGTGTCCTTTGCTTTTCAAGCTGTTTACTCCTTTCTTACGCGGTGCAATGCACACCCAGGAGGCTCACTCTGTGAGCCGAGCCTCTGGGCCCCGACAGCGCCCCCGCCCTCCCTGGCCCCTGGCCCACCCCGCTGTATTTTCTGTCTCTCGTATTCTGGGCACCTGTGGAAGTGGAAGCCGGATGTGCCTTCCGCCGCCCTGCGGCACTGGCCGCCGCCTGTGGCACTGTCCCGAGGGCCGTGCTGTGGGGCAGCGAGCCCGGTGCGCTCGGGCCGCCGGCTGCTCCTGCCGTTGGCTGCTGTGACCGTGGGTCTGCAAGGATTTCTTCTAGGCGCTGAGCGTGATCCTTCCGAGGTTAGCTGGAGGTGGGATGCTGGATGGCGTGAGCAGCCCAGTTTGAATGTTTGAGCCCCCCACGCAGAGGCCGTGCCGCCCCGGGCGCGGTGCACCCCGCCCCCTGCCCTTCTCCGGGGCCCTTCGCGGGCGCGCGGGCGCTGTGGTGCTGACAGCCCCGTCCCTGCTGCCCGGTGGTGTCGGGCACCTTCGGGGGATGTGTGAGGCTCTGTCCAGCTTTGAGAGGCGCTTGGTTTCTTGTTGACTTTCAGAAATTCTGTGCTTATGCCCGTGAACTCCTTCCCAGATCAGTGGCTCGCAACAGTTTCTTCCAGTCTCTGGTCTCACTCCTCTCCCTTGATTTTCTCGATGCACAGAATCTTAAAAGATGGAATCCAGTTTGCCCAGTTTCTCCTTTGCTGTCTGGCGCACACCTAAGCCAGCATCACCAGCCCAGTGCCGGGAAGCTTCAGTGCTTGTTTTCTTGTGCGAGTTTTGCTCCAGAGCTTACGCTTTGCTCTTTCACTTTGAATTGATCTGAGTGTTTAGGTAAAGGTCCAGCTTTGTTTTCCTCACATGTGGATGTCCGGCTTTTCAAGTGCTGTTTGTTCATGATGCTCTGCTCTTGGTGAGAGGTGACCTTTGTCACAGGTCACCCCAGCGGCCTGGCCACTGTGGCTTTGCACGTAGGAAGTGTGAGTCCTTCCCACTTTGTTCTTTCAAAACTGCTTTGACTTTGGGCCCCTTGAGATTTTAGGATAGGTTTTTTTCTATTTCAGCCCAAAGCATCAGTGGGGGTCTGTAAGGAGGGTCTTAGATACTGTTTGGGGGGAGAGGGTCTGGCTGGCTAGCACCGTGGCATGCACCTTACGGTGCGCCAGGTGAGGCTGTTTATTCTTTTAGATGCTGCTGCAAATGGTGTTACCTTTGCAATTTCCAGACTGCTCCTCGTGTGCAGAAACGCACTTGGTTTCTGTGTTCCCTCTGCACCCTGTGCTTTGCCGGTTCACCCTGGCAGTGTTTCTGGGGGGCTCCAGGGCTCTGACGTCACAGGTCAGGTTGTCTAGCGTGACAGTTTCTTTTTTCCCTACAGGCTGCCTTTTGCTTCTCTCATGCGCCTGTTGCTCTGGCTGGGACTCCCAGGGCCGAGGCGGACAGCGGTGGTGGGTGCAGGGGTCCCTCTCGGCTGTTCAGCGGGAGAGTGCGCCACCTTCCAGTCGGATGCAGCGGTCACTGCTGTGTGTTTCCTTTATGTCTGGGCCCTCGAGGGCTCTTCTCGTGAGCGGGCCCTGCTGGTTTCCGCCAGTGCGTGGCCCCTCGCGAGACAGCCGTGTCCGAGCGTCCTGGCGGTGGTGCATCGCCCCCGACGGCGCTCACGGGCTGAGCCGTGCTTGCTTCTCGGGAGCGGTCTCTGCCGTCTCGGCGTGTAGTTCTGTGCCTGTGCTTCTGGCTTCTGTCACAAGGGACTTGGGCAATCCCTAAGGGATGCTGGTTTGTAGTTTTCATGCCTTTGCCTTGGGCTTCAGGGTAGTGCTGGCTTCATAGACGGAGTCAGGAAATGTTCACTCTAGTGTTTACTGGAACTCTTGGGAAAGAGTCATACTAGTTCTTTAAATTTTTGATGGATTTTACCAATGAATGGTAGGGTTACAGGGCTTCTAACAGGGAGACTTTGATTACTGGTTCAGCCTCCTAGCTACTTACAGGTCTGTTCATAGTTTAACAATTTCATTGTGATTTATTCTTGGTAGATTTTATGTTTCTAGAAATTTGTGCATTTGATTTGGGTTATCCAGCTTGTAGTATACACAGGTGTTCACAGTCCTCTCTTAAAATCCTTTGTTTCTGTTAAATTGGTAATGTCCTCACTTTTGTTTCTTATTTTAGTAACTTGAATATATACTCTTTCTTTGTCCAGCTCAGTAGATAAAGGTTCGCCAGTTTTGTTGATTTTTTTTTTTTAAAGATTTATTTATTTGTGCATACAGAACTGGGGTACAGGCCAGAGGCTCAGGGGCGGCGAGAGGCTTCACCAGAGACAGAGTGGGAAGCAGAACAGGCAGATCGACGAAGTACACTGCTGAGGGGAGCAGTGGGCGGCCACGAGAGGTCTGGCGTGCCATGTGGTCACCTCCGGGGTGGGCGGGAATCGAACTCATGCGGAAGCGGCTTTAGATTCTCAGTGCTGTGCTTTAACCCGCTGCGCCACCAGGGAGGGCCGTTTTGTTGATTTTTTTTAAAGAACTAACTTACTAATTTTGGTTTCACTGGTTTTTCTCTTTGTTTCATTGATCTCTTCTAATTCCATTGGTTGTTCGGGCTTCAAATAATGCTTGTGTTATATAAAAAAAATACATGCCGGGCCCTCCCTGGTGGCGCAGCAGGTTAAAGCACAGCACTGAGAAGCTAAAGCCATTTCTGCACGAGTTCGATCCCTGCCTGCCCCGGAGATGACCACAGGGCGCGGCAGACCTCTCCTGACCCGCCCGCTGCTCCCCTCAGCAGTGGACTTCATCAGTCGGCCTGTTCTGCTCCCCGCTCTGTCTCTGGCCCCTGCACCTCTGGCCTGTACCCCAGTTCTGTATGCACAAATAAATCTTTAAAAAAAAATACCTTTTTTACTTACCTGATCAGTGTTAAATACTGATTACTTTATACTTCCTATATAAAATAGGAATGCTAATATGAATGTTGTAGAGAGTCCTTGATGAGACCACTTTAGAGAACTGTTTGTAGATTCAAACGAGAAACATGCGTCTAATGTCCTAGTAACTCACAGTTATAAGAAGGCTGCTCACCTGGCACACTTATCTCCACGAGTGCATACCCAGGTGCTTTTAATTTTAAGTCTTTAGTCAAAAACCTTTAGTCTGAGAATCATATGTAAGAACTTAAGGCAGGCAGGTTTCATGTTTCCTTTTTTAAAGATCTATTTATCATACAGAACTGGGGTCCAGGCTAGAGGTGGGGGGGGCGGTGAGAGGATTTACCAGAGACAGAGCGGGGAGCAGAACAGGCCCACTGACGAAGTACACCGCTGAGGGGAGCAGCGGGCGGGTCAGGGGAGGTCCGCCGCGCCCTGTGGGTCACTTGTGGGGCCGGAATCTGGCTTTCAAGTCAAGTATAGCCATTGTGCCGTCACCTGCCAGGCGGACTGTTTGGGATAAAGTTTTGGCCATGGAGCTGCCAGTCCGCTGGCAACTTGCTGTTAGTGGTTACGTGTTTGGCTGCACCCGCAGAACCGGGTCGCGGGAGGAGAGGAGTGAGGCCGGCCTGGTGCCCGCGGCACGCGGGTCTCGCCTCTGCCCAGCTCGCTGAGCTGCTGCTGGCCTTCACGGCCTCAGCCAGGCCCTGCGTTTGCTTCCCGGGGGTTCGAATTGTTCTTTTCTTCCTATTTCCTGGTTGCGCCTGGTTGCCCCTTGCGTGTCACGGCCTTTCTGGAAGATCCTTCCCAAGTGATGGCCCCAGCCCGGCATCTCACCGTCAGGCAGCTGCCGTGTTCTCCCGGCCAGAATCAGCCAGCGCCTGGTTTGCAGGATTCTTGCTCGGACTGGCTGTGCTTCAGCCCGCCCGGTCACAGGCGCCTCACAGCTAGCTGGCAGCCCTCCCTCAGCTGTCTCCAGACGCCCCGCAGGTCCCTCCTTGTCCTGCAGCCAGGCCTGCCCCTCCTGGGGCGCCTCTGCTGAGCGGCCCTCCTGCCGGGCCGCGCCCTTGCTTCCCTGTTGTCTCAGACCTCGCTTCAGGCTCATGGGCACCAGCTCCATGTGCGTTTCAGTGTTGCAAGTGTTGAGATAATCTGGTATTGTGGGATTTTTTTTTTTTAAGATTTATTGTTTTATTTATGCACACTAGAGCTGGGGAGTAGGCCAGAGGTGGGGGGTGGGGTGGGGGGAGGGAGACGGCTCATCAGAGACCAGAGCAGGGAGCAGAACAGGTGGATCTACTGAAGTCCCCTGCTGAGGGGAGCCGGGGAAGTCTGCTGCATGCTGTGGGTCACTCCCTGGCTGGAGGCTGCAGCTAGGGACAGTTTCATAGTGCTGAGATTTAACCCCTTACGCCACCAGGGAGGCCCTGTGGAATATTCTTAATTTCTACATGAGGACAATTAGTTTTCATACCAAGTTAAATGGATCATTGATAACTTCATTTTATATCCCCAGATTTTTATTATGTTGAATGTTTTAATTGCTTATGTCAATTTTATTTGGAGGGGGACATTTGATAATATTTATAGTTGATTCTGATGAGCAGTATTGCACTGGTTTTGAGATTTTAACATCGGAAATAAGAAAGTGTGTTCAGGGCCTCCTGGTAAGACTCAGTCAGCACTGTGAGGCTGTCCGCAGCACGGCAGTGCGAGTTCAAGCCCCAGCCAGGGAGGGACTCCCAAGGGCGCAGCAGACCTCGCCTGCCTCCCCGCTGCTCCCTCAGCAGTGGATTTCAGTAGATGCTCCTGTTCTGCCCCCCACTCTGTCTCTGGGGAGACCCCTCACCATTCTCACTTTGGCCTATACCTTATCAGTTCGTATGTGCAAAAATAAGTTAAAAAATGTGTATACAAATTGAATATGGATCAAAATAATTTGTTGCAGTTTTTCCTTTTTTAGAAGCACATAAAATAATGGAAAACTTGAATAACCGATGACATACTAGGCAAGTTACATAGTGTTTTTTGTTAAATCCCCCGCCCCACAACAGTTTATTTGTCAGGTATGCTTATTGGCTTGGGGGAGGGGTCCTTTTATTTCTTCATATCTTTTAGAGTTTGCTGTCAATGATTTTAGAAATGGAGAACATGGTAGCCGGGGAAAGCGGCCAACCTACAGGAAACAAATGTATCTTAGTTATATTGGTTGTTTAAAAATATTTTTATTAGGATAAACTTTAAAGTATATATCTATGTACTTTCACTTTTAGGTAGAAGATGAGACTGTTTTACATAACATTCCTTACATGGGAGACGAGGTTTTAGACCAAGACGGGACTTTCATTGAAGAGCTGATAAAGAATTATGATGGGAAGGTGCACGGGGACAGAGGTGAGCCGGTGCCTTCCGCGGAAAGGCCGGAGCCGCGTTTCCCTGGCTCACGGCGCAGGTGCCGGGAACGGGCTCCGATCTGTGGTTGTGCGGCTTGGTGTTCAAAGGACTAAACTCCTCAGTGTTTTTACTGTCGTTGAGTTGAAAGATCATGATTGCACTTTAATAATTTTGTATGGTTGTTTAAAACAAAAATAACGTCAGTGTCATTTCAGTTAAATACAATTTTCTTAATTTTGGGTTACACACAGATTTTAAGTGTATCAGTACATCGAGTGGACTGGGCCTCGCGCAGGCCCTCTGCTACTCAGCAGCACTAAGCTGCTGCCATCAGAGTCTGAGCCGGGCGGCCTGGTGTCGGGGTGGGGCACGTCAGGTCCCCGGTGTGGGAGGGGCAGAGCCCCGGGCAGCTCAGGAGGCCCAGGCCATCATACGGGGCCTGCACGCTCTTGGGGACGCGTATGTCGAGGAGAAGGTGAATTTTTCAGCAAAATTGTGCTTCCCGCTCCACCTCAGGCCAGTGCTGACCTAACGCTGACCGGTCCAGCCTGGTCCGAGAGGCGCTTGTAAACGTGTCTGCTTTCCCCCGTGTGCTCCTGATGTCTGATTGCCAGAATGTGGGTTTATAAACGACGAGATTTTTGTGGAGTTGGTGAACGCCCTGGGACAGTACAATGACGACGACGACGACGACGAGGCCGATGACCCCGACGAGAGCGAGGACAAGCAGAAGGGCCTGGAGGACAGCCGCGACGGTGCGTCT